AAATAGAAGGAAACTGCTCCCTTTTTTTACCCTGGACTTTGGGAGGAAGAAAGAAACTGGGGTCAGGGAAGAAAGTTCCTCCCTCCCCTCATCCCTCTAGCTCAGGACTGTGAATCAGAACCAGGGGTCTGGCTAATTAACAAAGAGATATTCTACAACATTCCAGATGTCCTTGTAATTTTCTCTACCCTTAATTTTCCAGTGGTGGTTGATGGTTTTCATACCTAGTGATTTTGTCCTTAGCTCCTTCAATAACCATATTCTCTCCAGTCATGTCTCTTACTCCATCATCATTCTCCTGTCTGTGGGTAGAAACCATCTGAATCTCTACTTCCTTTCCTTGAAATTTTCATTTCCTTAAGGGATGGGGGGGTACTGGAGAGACAGGGATGAGAGTAGTCTGCCAACTGGTGTATCAGGAAGGCCAGGGGGCAGCTGGGTAGCACAGTGGATAGACCACTGACCCTAGAATCAGGAGGACCTGAGTTGAAATCCAACCTCAGACACTTGCTAGCTGTGTGACCCTGGTCAAGTCACTTAACCCCAATTGCCTCAAAAAAAAAGGAGGTCAGGATGCCGAGTGTGTCTTCTAGGCTAGAGTGTTTATGAACCACATCTGGGCATTCCCCTTTCCACAATATGGAGAAATTCCCTCTCTCTTACACATCTATTGAATCAAAATATGTTCCAGCTAGATTGACCTACATGGGCTCCCTAAATTTGACATTCTATCTCCTAACTCAGTGCCTTTGCATAGACTTTCCATGATGCCTGGTAAGCTCTGCCATGTCATGTCCACCTCTTAGAATCCTTAGCTTCCTTCCAGGCTTGGTTCATATGCCACATCTTACAGGAAGCCTTTCCTGCTTCTCTTAGATGTTAGTGTTGTCGGGTATATACTTTTCCATTTACATGTTGGATCCTCTCAGTAGAATGCAAGCTCCTTGATGGCAGGACCCCTTTTTCATTTTTTTTTTTATCCCTAGGGCCTAGTACACTGTTTAGCACATACTAGATGCTCAATAAATATTCATTGGATGGGATTAGAATTTTTCAAGCTCAGCATGCTAAGGCTATAAAAAGGATTATTTCTCATGTTCTCCTGGACTGGACCAGTTGCAGATTTAAAAATTACCTTGGTCTTCATTTCTTGTTTATTGACCTATAAGTTTCTCTTGTCTGAGCCTGGAGACTCAGGCCTGCATTCCCACTGTGCCTGCATCACAGATGTTTTGCTGGGAGCCCCAAGACTCTAGCTGCTCTGGTCTTTTTTTTTTATCAACCAATCATCCAATCAATCAATAAACATTTATTAAGTGCTTGTATGTGCCAGGCACTGTGCTAACTGCTGGGGATTAAAAAAAAAAAACCCAAAACAAAGAAAAACAAAAAAAGAAAACAATACAAAGACAGAACCTGACCTCAGTGAGGTTACAAACTAATCGGGGAAAACATGCAAACAAATATATACAAAGCAAGCTCTACACAGGATAAATAAGTAACGAACAGAGAGAAGGCCCTGCAATTAACCAGGGTTGGGGAAGGCTTCCTGTAAAAGAAGGGATTTTAGCTGGGACTTAAAGGAAGCCAAGAAGGTCAGAAATTGGAGTGGAGCAGAAAGAGCGTTCTGGGCATGGGGGAAAGCCAGAGAAAATGCCCAGAGCTGAGAGATGGAGGGTTTTGTTCACGGAACAGGCAGGAGACCAGTGTCACTGGACGGAACAGCATGTGTCTGGGAATGAGGAGAAGAATGGAAAAGGGTTGTGGGGGGGGGCGGGGTAGGTTATAAGGGGCTTTGAATGCCAAACAGAACATTTTGTATTTGATCCTGGAAGCAATAGGGTGCCACTGCACTGAAGTCTGTTGAGTAGGGGTGGGGGAGTGTGACATGATCGGACCCCTGCGCTTTAGGAACGTCCCTTTGGTGGCTGAGTGGAAGATAGACTAGAGCAGGGAGAGATTTGAGGCAGGCAGACCCACCAAAAGGCAATTGCAATAGTCTAGGTGTGAGTGATGAGGGTCTGCACTAGAGGGGTGGAAGTGTCAGAAAAGAGACACGGGGGTGTATCGAGAAGATGTTGCAGAGGAGAGGAGGGGGTGTATTGGGGAGGCATTGCAAAGGTGAAATCGACCAGCCTTGGCAACAGCTTGGACATGGGTGGGGTGAGAGATAGTGAGGGATCCAGGACTGCGACTCCATGTCCTTTCTGCTGCCCCTTCTCTCAAATCACAGTTAGCACCCTAGCATCGGCCCTCATCACCTGTTGCCTGGACTGTTGCAAAACATCCCTGACTGATCTCCTTGCATTAAATACCTCTCCCTCCAGTTCACGCTCCACACAGCCACCCAACTGATTTCCCTAAAACCCAAACTTGACCATGTCACTCCCCTACTCCCTAAACACTAGTGGCTCTCTGTAACCTCTAGCATCAAATACAGACTTGTCGGTTTGACATATCAAAGCTCTTTACAGCCTGGCCCCAACCTACCTTCCCAGCCTTGTTATACATTAACCCCCACAGTTCAGTCTAACTGGCCTTTTATCATTCCTATGCTTGCGGTCGTCCTGCTATTACTCTGCCCTTTGCAAAGGCTTACCATCCCTATCAGTTTCTCCTCACCTCTGCCTCTCAGAAGCCTTCTGAGCTCAACTCACAGGCCACATTGTACGTGAGGCCTTTCTTCATAACCCCAGAGGCTAGTGCCTCCTCCTTAAATCACCTTGTATATCGAGATTGCATCAACATACGTGGTGTCTCCCCCAAGAGAAGGCAAGGTCCATGAGGGCTGGAATTGTTTCATCTTCCTCTTTGTATCTCGAGAGTCAAATGATGAATACTTGTGGATTTGTTTGATAAGGAGACATCGGGGGTTCACAGAAACAGCAAAGATGGGCAGTAGATCTCCTGACGTGGGAGTGCGCTCTCTTAGATACTGACCCCCTAGTTTTCCAAGCCCTTCATCTCTCAAGGAGACTAGATTTGAATTTGATCTTCTCCAGGGTCCCTTCTAGATATAACAATAATAGTCATACTGATACCAGCTAATATTTATATAGTGCTTACTATGTGCCAGGCACTGAGCTAAGTGCATAACAAATACTATCTTATTGGATCCTTGCAAGAACCCTTGGATGGAGGTGTTGTTATAATCCCCATTTTGCAGATGAGGAAACTGAGGCAGACTGAGGTGAAGTGACTTGCCCAGGCTCCCAGAGCTAGTAAGTGTCTGAGGCCAAATTTGACCTCACATCTTCCTGACTCCAATCCCAGCCCACTGCACCACCTAACTGCTGGATTAAAGATAAATCCTTTTTCTTCTATTTCTCTCCTGACTGTAGTCCCTCCATCCATGGCTATTTTTTCTCTCTGCAGGTTATAACCATCAGATGAGCAGCCTCTCTTCCAAGATCAGTGAGTATTCTTGCAACTCAAAATATTATAAAAATGAGTGTTGAAAACCATCTTTACATGTAATTGCAAAAAATACTGTTTACAAAAAAAAAGAAACAGACCTAGTCCAGAAAAATGAATTCCCTCACTGGGTATGATCAAAAATATATGTCCCATTCTGTACCCTGAATCCAACACCTTTCTGTCCAAAGGTAGTATGTTTGTCCTCTCTTGGTCCTCTGGATTCCTGATTGCACTGATCAGAGTTCTTATTTTTGTCTTATAGTAATCACCTTGTATGTCTAAGTTATGTTGCCATTTGGAGTTTATTTTGGTTTGTCATGTGAGATGTTGGTGAATACCTCATTTCTGCCAGACTAATTTTTAGTTTTTCCAATAACTGTTGTCGAGTAATGAGTTCTTACCTTAGAAACTGGGCCAACTCCCTATTTTCCATGTAAGGAGACTGAGGCCTAAAGTTAAAAAAAAAAAGGTAGCACATGGCAGGGCCAGGATTTGAACCAAGGTCTTCCAAATCTACCAGTCTTTATACTGCTAGAGGGAAGCATGCAGGGTTAGAGGTTTCCTCAAGGTTTCATTAGTGGGTTCATTCTCTGAGGAAGTAATAGGGTAGTGCTAGCTGAAATGATGATGATGATGATGATGATGATGATGATGATATTAATAATAACAACAACTAGTGTTTATATAGCACTTTAAAGTTTACAAAGCACTTTATCTTATTTGAATAACATTTCTTTTTAAAAATAGTATGTTATTTTTTCCAAATTATATGTAGAGACAATTTTTAGCATTCATTTTGACAAGACGTTGAGTTCCAAATTTTTCTCCCTCCCTCCTTCCCCTTCCCTTTTCCTAAAATGGTAAGCAATTTGATATAGGTTATATATGTGCAATCATGTAAAACATATTTTCATATTAGTCACAGTTGTGAAAGAAGAAATGGACCTAAAGGAAAAAACCATGAAAAAATAAAGTAAGTGCAAAAAGAGTGCTTTGATCTGCATTCAGACTCCATAGTTCTCTCTCTGGATGCAGTTAGCATTTTCCATCGTGAGTCCTTTGTCACTGTCTTAGATCATTGTGTTGCTGAGAAGAGCTAAGTCATTCATAGTTGATCATCACACAATGTTGCTATTACTGTGTACGATGTTCTCCTGGTTCTGCTCATTTCACTTTGTACCAGTTTGTACAAGTCTTTCCAAGTTTTTTCTCCTTCTTATACAGCGGCTAAGAACTCCCACCTCAAGATGTTTCCCCTCAACTTCACTATCACCAACATGTTCTACACAGAAGACATGGGTGAGAGAGGCTCCAACAAATTCAACACCACTAAGAATGCCCTACAGTTTGTGGTGAGACTCCCCCCAACTCTTCTTGCAAACCCCTCTCTGCCTAGCTTGCCTTCCTCAGCCTTGGGGATGCAGGCCGGGTCTATGCAGGTACTCAGCAGTTCCCCTCTCTCCTTCTGTTTCCAGCTCAACTTCCTGTTTAGGAAGGGCAGCCTCGGCTCTCACTATTCCGGATGCAGTTTGATGTCGCTGAGGTGAGAGTCTTGGGAGCCACTGGCTCAAGTAGCAGGGACGAGCATCCCCATCTGACTCAGATTACATCCAGCCTGGCTCCTCTCCTCCCTCCTTCTCAAGTTGCAATGGATAAACTCCCCTTCCCAGCAAGCCACTAGAGATATTCTGGGCTCCTTCCACCCTTTCCCAGGTGGAAAAAAAATCCTTTCTCCTTCAAAAGACAAGGTTGGAGCTGGGTTTTTTTTTTTCTTTTTTGTTATAGCCTCACATAAAGGGAATATAAACGAAGAGCCTGGCAGACAGGGGGTGCCAAGTAAATGATTGATTAGAACTCATCAACACTGACTTTCTCTAGAATCATAGGATTATAGATTGAAAGCTGGTAGGGACTTTAGAGGTCAGCTGGTACATTGACTTCATTTACAGATGATAACAAAACAAAACAAAAAAAAGAGGCCCAAAGAGATTCCAGTGACTTTCCCAAGGTCAAAAGATAATAAGTGTCAGATCTGGAATTCACACACTTTAAATCGAATGTTCTTTCCATTGCACCAGAAAATTAATGAAAATAAGCAGACTCCATACATACTTGTAAGCACAGAAAATGAATGAATTTTCAGAACACTGCCAACTCCAGGTGGTGGGTAGAGGGCTAGACTTGGAATCAGGAAGACCTGAGTTCAAATCTTCTCTCAGACACTTATTAGCTGTGTGACCCTGAGCAAGTCATATAAGCTGCCTCAGCCTCAGTTTCTTCATCTGTAAAATGAGAGGGTTGGATTTGCTTGCTTCTAATGTCCTTTTCAACTCTAAATCATGATCCTTCCCAAATCTTTGCCCAACATGGGCCACTCCTCTTTAGAGGGCACCTGTTCTCTGAATGACTGATTTTCACTTAGTCCGCCAGTGGTATCAAACTCAAAAACAGGGGACATTAAGTTGCACAGCAGGATTCCCCTGGGTCACATATTGACTCAGAAAACCACACGTTTTCCTACACACACATACATATATAAACATGTGTGGTTTATACACACGTGTGGTATATATACACACAGAATACACATTTATACATAATATATATTTAATTAATATGTGAACACATTAAAATTAGATATGGACTACATTTTAATCTGGCTCAGGCCACACTTGGGAAGGGCTGTGTGTTTCACTCTTGTGGTCTAAACCATCAATTTCCAGGTCTGTGAAAAATATGACAGAAATGGGAGTGGATATTGTATGTGCTTATCAGGAAGACCCCTCTGTCCCTGTGCTGGACAGAGTAAAGGTTTACTGGGAACTCAGCAGAGAGACCCAGGGCATCACCATCCTGGGTCCCTACATGCTGGACAGGGATAGTCTCTATGTAGATGGTGAGCAGCCCCACTCAGGACACACACATCCATTTCTCCAAGTTGGTCCCTTTCCAGAAAACAATCCACCTGGCCCCAAATTATCCATTCCTCTCCCTCCTGGGAGCACTGGCCTTCAAGGTGGTGACAACCTGTGTAGACATAGAGATCTTTCTCACTCCTAGAGATCTAGAAATCAGAAGAGCCCAGGTGGTTGTTGGACTCCCAGGATGAGCTCCATGAATCCTTCCCTCTTGAATGTTGAAGCACCATTTTGCCAAGCCTGTGGGCGGGCCCCAGACCACCACCTCTCCATTCCTCCCTGACCTTTTGCCCAGACTGAACCACCCTACACAAAGTTTCACGTGTGCTCTCTCTCTTTTCCCTCTTCTTTCTCTCTCTCTCCTTTTTCCTCTCTGCCTTTCTTCTTCCTCTCTTTTCTCTTTCTTTTCCCTCTTCTCTTTCTTTTCTCTATCTCCCCTCTCCTCTCCTCTCCTTTCTTTCCTGTTCCTCCTCCTTTTCTCTCCCACCTCTATTACAGGTTATAACTGCAAGATGCCAACCTCCTCCACAAGCAGTAAGTTTTTATTGTCTTTATTTCTCTATTTTCTGGGACACTACAGAGAAAGGAGAGTTCTTTCCCCCAACCTTTTTTTTTAGCCTTTTGGGAGGGGTATAGGGCAGAGGAGCAATAATATTAGATGTCTAGATGTTTAGATTTATTTGCTCATTTGCTTATAATTTTTTTTTGTTACCCCAAATATCTAAATTGGTCAAAAGGGAAAAAACCCAGTGGGCTTGGGAAGCAGGCTGTCCCTATCCCCTTCTTATTCAGGATTTAGAGTCAGAATCAGTATAACCCTGGTGCACAGAGGGAATTTCCCAGTATTTCAGAGAAACTTGTACCTCTCCCCTACAGCTTTCTTTCAACAACATTGGCCAATGGTTTTCATTAGTAATGCTTTGATCCTCAGATCCTTCAACAACTGCACTCTCTCCGACCATTCCTCTTGTCCAGTCGTCTCTGTCCTCTGGCACCACAGGTAAGAACTTGACTGATTCTCTACTTCCTCCCTGGAAAGGTTGACTTGAACCTCATGTCCCTAAGGATATGAAGCAGGAAATGGGAGAGGGCAGGAGAGGCACAATCATAGACACCAGCTATGACAAAGAATGAAATGATCCCTTCTTACAAGGACTACACAGTCTAACAGGGAGACAGCTACAGAGATAAGTAGACACAGAATAAAAAGAAAAAAAATGCAAATAAATACAAGGTAGTTAAAGAGGGAGGGTCTGTAAGCTGAGAGGACAATCAGGAAAGGTTTCCTGTAGAAGGTGGTTCTTGAGTTAAATCTGGACAGAAGAGAGAGGGGTTCTATGAGGTGGTGGGGAGGAGGATGGAGGGCATTCCAGGCATATGGAACAGCTAGTGGAAAGGAATGGGGATGGGAGATAGAATATGAGGATAAGAGAGAAGGCCAGGTTGGCAGAATCATACAGTGCAGGAAGCGGGGAATAACATCCAGTGACCCTGGGAAGATGGTTGAGGCCAGGTTGTGAAGAACTTTCTTTTCTTTTTTAATTTTTAAAAACATTTTTACATTCAGTTCCAAGTTCTTTCCCTGCTCCAACCATTGAAAAGGCAAGAAATATGATACCCATTATACATACGAAGTCACACAAAACATATTTGCACATTAGCCACGTTGTATGTGGAGGGGGGGAGTAAGAAAAATAAAGAAAATGAAAAACAATATGTGCTTCAATCTGTACTCAGAGTTCATCAGCTCTCTTTCTGGAGGTGGAGAGAGTTTGTGAAGAGCTTTAGAAGCTAAAGGGAGGATTTGATTTTATAAAATATGTGGAAATTGTCCTTTTCCTTTTCTACAGCTTCCTTCCATGAGGACTCAGGGTATAACTGCCTCTGATAGAATGTGAGCTCCTTGAGGGAAAGGGATGTTTTATTTTTATCTCCATGTCTTCAAGACCTAGCACCGTGTCTGGCTTAGATATGCTTAATAAATGTTTGTTGATTGACTGAAAAAATAGATACAATTTGGAAAGCACTTTGTCAACCTTAAAATGCTATCTATAAATGCTAGCTATTATTATCATTATTGGTGTGAAAAAGATGGTCACCTGTAGACTGCTGACAACCCAATTCAAGACTTTGTGCCTCTCCTGGACACAGTTTTCTGTTTATTGAGTTGAATGATCTGCCTGGGTCAGGCTTGAGAAGCAATGTGGTAAAGGGGGAATAAGAGGGGTTGGGGGTGAAGAATAAGCATTTGTTAAGCACCTACTATGTGCCACACTACTGAGTGCTTTCCCTCTAACTACCTGGGAGGCAGGTACTATTACCATCTCTGCTTTATTCTGGTTGCTGAGCTGTGTCCAACTCTTCATGACCCCATTTGGGGTTTTCTTGGTAAAGATACTAGAGGGGTTTGCCATTGCCTTCTCTAGCTCACTTTATAGACAAGGAAACTGAGGCAAATAGAGGTAAGTGACTTGCCCCCAGGGTCACACAGTTAGTAAGCGTCTGAGGTACACGGGAGAGAAGAATGTTGGACTCAGAGTCAGATCAGAATCAAGTAACTAATGTTCGGTTCCTAGCTCTGACATTTACCCGTGTGCCCTGGCTCACAGGTGTCACCTAAACACTCTCTCTGAGCCTCCATTTTCTCATCTATAAAATGGAGGCAACATGCCTCGAAGGGTTGTTATGAGGAAAGTGTTTCACAAACCTCTAAGTGCGCTATAAATGTAAGTCAATCCGCAAGCATTTATGAATTTCCTATTCTGCACCAGGTACTGTCCTCGCTGTTGGGACTGCAGAGATAAAAACAAGACAGACCCTGTCCTTGAGGAGCTTCCATTCCGTGGAGGGAAACAACGTACATAAATACAAAATATGTACAAATGAATTGGGGGGCACTAAAAAGTGGGGTGACCAGGCATGGCATTTGAAACAAAGGAAGTCAGGAGCTCAAGGAAGCAGAAATGAGGAAGGTGTGCATTTCAGCCTCTGTTGACCTATAAGTAAAAGGCTTAGTCATGAATGGTTTTTGCCCTCCCCTCTCCCCCGCTAAAAAAATACCTAAAAAAGGAATCCACAGTAGGTCTTCCTGACCCCAAATCTAGCACTTGTTTCACCACAACACACAGAAGCCTCTTGTAATTACAGCTCTCATATACCTGCTTTCACCTTACTCACCTGGATAGCAGCTCCTCAGGCCTTCTTGCTCCAGCATCCATGGTGCATTCCCTCGCTCAAAATAAGAGATCACACCTTCTCCAGGAACTGGAAGTCCTGGACATGGGGAAGCAGTTAGGGACAAGCATGGAGAGAAACTAGTAATTTAGTTATCTTTAGGGAAAAGGATGTGCTACTTCATTTTGAGATTTGCTCCATTATGTTCATGCATTAGTGTTTGTAATACAAGTGACCCAAAATAGGATGTGCCACATTCTCCTGCTGTACAAAGTATTTGGAGAAACAGCCAGACTTATAGCACCATCCCCCACCCCACCTCTCATCTTGTCATCTTCCTTTCTGGCAGAAATTCCTAACCCCAAACAGAGTAAAACAGATTATTGGGCCAAATCAGCCTCAAGTCCAGGCAACAGGGCCCTTGATATATCATCTTTTGCCCTATTCCCCTATCTGGCTCCTCACTCCCTGAAACCTATAGAAACCTTGCATACTGTTCATTCAGGGAATGTTTGCCTCTCTGGGTGAGAGTCTTCTACTGGTAAACTCAAGAAACCCTGCTTTGTCCAAATTCTGATTCTTGGCCAGTCTGGTATTTTTAGCAATGGCAGGGGCATGTGAGCAAGGGCAAGTCACTTAACCACAATTGCCTCACCAAAAAAAACCCAAAAAACATAAAACAAAAAAGAAAAACCAAAACCAAAAGTAAATCCAATACTCTTGGCCCTTTAAAAGGAAATATTCTCCACAAATTCATATATCCCCTTACAAAGACATGTGGTGACAATTTCTGGCTCTGAACAACTTACTTCCTTAAGAGCGCTGAAAAGTCTCCTTTTTGAGGCCTCTCAGATAAAAAAGCTACCCTAAGCATTTCACCCTCCTGAGAGTTTCAGGCTGATGCAAACAGTCACTCAGGTTAGCTAAGAGTTTGGCTCAGACAACCTGGGTAAAGTGAATCAATGCTGACAGGGTGTGGTCAGTTTCCCCCAGGCAGAAAACCTCTAGAGTTCCAATAATTAATTGAACAGTACAGGGAAACATTTTAAGATTTTATATAACAATCTCAAATCACAATAACCAATATCTTCACCATAGCCAAAATTTATGGAAGGTCAGATTGTATAAAGCCTTCCTATAGGTTTATCCTGAAAGGTGGGTGGTGTTCTAACTCTTTATAACTTTATTGATTTTTAAATCAAGGTACAAAATTTCCATTTTCAATTTTTCTACCCAAAAACTTCCACACACCTTCTTAACATGTTTAAACCATCTGAAGCTGGCACAAAGGAACCCAAACATTCATGCAGGGATGGGGCTCAGAGCACATGGGCCCAATGCAGATCATCCCGCCCCATCTACTCCCAAACCATTTTTTTCCTGCCTGTCATATTTTCACACAAACCGAAATATTCCTCTTTCCTAATCTTCCAAACCCATTACTCAGACTACTTCCACCTTCCTTCACATTACAAATTTAAAAAATTCTGCTCATCCCACTTGCAGTCCTGCTTCCCTTCACCCTGTTAGAATCTAGAGGAAGTTAATGTCTAACAATTTACAAATCAAGAGAGCTGTAGTTTCCCCATACTCTTCACAAATAGCTTTTATAATGTTAATGCTTAAAAGACAAGAAGACACCCACATTTGCAGCTCCAAACACATTGCTCTGATATCAGACACATTCGCAGAAGGGGTGCAAAGACATTTTTCTAGATTTAATTTAAACATAAAATATAAACTCTAGCTTTGAGATCTGATTAAACCTGAATTCAAACCCCTTAGCTTTTCCCTCTCTCAGCCTTTGCTCTAGATCTTTATCAGTAAAAACTGCAGGTTGCACCTTCCCCTAACTTCTGAGAGTCTCTTAATCTCCCACTCAAAGCCTAAGGTGGGAGTTCTTTCTTTTTTCTCTCTCAGCCCTTCATGTTAAATCTTTCACCACAAACATGAAACATTTTACAAACACACAGAGACAGAAACAGCTTGACAAGACAAAGTGCACACAAATCTAATTTTCTTGTTGGCTTTTTAGGCTTAGTTTGTTTTTAAGATAAAATAACCTTGACTGGTCAAAAGAACCCCATCATAGCCAACATAATTTGGGGCTATCTTTAGTTCACTGACACCAGCGCTGATCTTTTTCTTATCTTTCTGTCTAGTACAGGTTGTATCTTCCCAGGATTTTAACATCCTCCCTAAGGGACTCTTTGGAGGAATGTTCACAGGGGTCTGTTATTTCCCCCTGGTTTCCCTGGCACCTTTGAATTTTCATTTTCTGTCTTACTCATTTGTCCAAAACTTCTCATGCTCTGGTGTGCAAACACACACTCAGTCTCCAGAACACAGTAATGATGTGGTCTAGAGGTTAGGAGTCCTGGAATCCCAAAATCACGACACCCAGGTCCTGCCCAAAAGAATTCATCCAAGCCTTCTTGCAGCCAAAAACAAAGTTTATTGAATATTTGCCATATTAGCTGGACTCTTAAGGAATCTGAGCATCTATGGGCTATTGGCTAAATTCTAAGAATCAGAGCATCTTAATGGAGATAAGATGGACCTTACATACAGAAAGACTGTGGGAGGGATCTAGGACTGGCCAAGTAGTTTGGGGTGGATGGGAGGAAGGGCCTAAGGAGATCTGGATGGGAGTGGCTAGTAAGCTGGGGTGAACAGAACTCCTGGGACCTGGACCTCGTGGCCAAGGGAGAATGGAGCCTAACTAGGATTAAGGGTGGGAAATGGCCGGGGGCCATAGGGAGGTAAGACAATGGAGGGGAGATTGGGTGTAGCCACAATGAAAGACCAGTTGATGGGATTATAGCCGCCCAGATTTGGCCCTGTGGGAAAGTACAGGAGTCCATGAGGTAATAGAATTACCAAGGGTGGGAAATGGAGTCTAGGTGGGACCAGGGGTGGGAAGTGGTCTGGGGCCATAGGGAAAGTCTAGGGTTTTTCCCTTCTGGGGCCCAGATTCCAATCCCACCATTCCCCCCTCAAACAGATGGGAACCAAATTCTTTTGGTGTAAGGGGCGAAGGTCTCGGCTTCTGAAACTGTTTCCTGCTGACAAGGGGCATAGAGCTGTCCCTGCCTCGCGGGGTACCATTTTGTTTAAGGGGTCAGACTTCAGAGTACGGCTGACCCATGGCTGGCTCCAGTGGGCTAGAGACCTCAGACTCCATTGGCTGATGTCATCGGGAGTTGATGGCTCCAACCCTAGATGGCAAGAATGTAACAAAAGGAGTACAGAGAGGAAGAAGAAAGAAAAAAAAACATTATGATTTCTATTCTTTTTATCCACCTGTCAGCTGGAGAGGGCCAGTAGCCTTTGTAAGAGGGCCGGGGCCTTTCTAAACAACAGCTTCAAATCCTCCAAGGGCTCACAGGTATATTCTGGAGTCTCTGGGGAGGGACCAAGAGATGACACCGGTTAAATCCTAGAATTATGAGTCCAGCTAGGGAGGCCTTCAAGTTTTACTGCTGTAGAAGTGGTGAGTATGACTCAGTAGGATCCCTTCCAATTGACATCTAATTGTTCTCCCTTTTGGGTTTTCCATGACTTTAAATAGACCGAATCTCCAGGTTGTACTGGGGCAGGAAGCTCCTTTTCACAGCCAAAAGGTTTTGGAAGATGCTTGTCAGCATATTCTGTTAGGGTGTTCCTGACAGCTCCTAACTGAGTTGCAAATTGAGTGATCAAATGCTGTTCTGTGTCAGAGGTTAGGAAAGGCCTCCCATACAATAGTTCAAAGGGGCTAAACTTGATATTTTCGCCCGAGGTGGACTCTGAGTAGCCCAATGGGGAGATTCTTAATCCAATCTTCTCAGTTTTTATGCACAGCTTAGTAAGGATTCGTCTAAGGGTATGATTCATTTTCTCTACTTTACCAGAGGATTTGGGACTCCAGGCTGAATGGAGGAGGTAAGTGATTTTAAGTGTCTTTGCCACACCCTGGGTTATCTATGAAACAAGAGCAGGGCCATTATCACTCTTTAAGGAGCTAGGCAACCCAAAACGAGATATAATTTCCTTTAATAAAAGCTTCCACCCAATTGATAAATGTGTCATCAAAAACCAAAAGAAATTTGAAACCCCTGCATGGGGGCATGTGTAAAGTTTATTTGCCAGTCTTCCCCTTGGGTAGGTACTCCTCCTTTGAATTGGCTTTAAAAGGGGTGGAGGTTTGACTGCCCCTTCAGGGTTTACCTGGGCACAAGTTGGGCAAGCGTGATAAACTTGTTGTATTGTTTCTCCCAACTTACTGCCAGTAAAAATGGATTGTATCAGAGACTGGGAGAGCATTCTTCCCAGGTGTGTGGCCTGGTGTAAGCCAAAAAGAAGCTTCCACTGGCTCCCTTCTGGGATAAGGAGTTGGCCTGAGGGTGTCTGAAACCACCCAGAGGAGGAAAGAGAGTATCCCCTTTCTTTAGCAAGAGCCTGTTCTTGAGGGCTGTAGGAACGTGTGAAGGAGTCAGGGAGCTGTGGGAATAAAGGAGCCAATATAGTCAATTGGCGAGCAGCATTCTTTGCTGCAGTGTCTGCTAGGCAATTTCCTATGGCCTGATCTCTTTCCCCTTTTTGGTGGCCTTTACAAAAGATAACAGCTATCCCAGATGGCTTTTGAACAGCTAGGAGGAGATGTGAAATCTCCTGGGCATGTTTAATAGAGGAATTTTTTGCTGTCAGATATCCCCTTTCTTTCCAAATTGCTCCATGGGCATGTAGAACATGGAAAGCATATTTCAAATCAGTATAAACATTTACACTTTTATTTTCCCCTAGCTCTAGGGCTCTAGTGAATGCTATTAATTCTGCCTTCTGGGCAGAGGTCCCAGGGGGCAGGGGTTTTGCCTCTGTAGTTTGGTGGAGGCTAACCACTGCATACCCAGCTCTCCTAACCCCTTGTTCAATGAAACTTGAACCATCTGTGTACCACACTAATTTGGGGTTCGGGAGAGAAGAATCTTTTAGATCAGGTCGACTGGCATAAACACAGTCTAAAGGCTCCTCACAATCATGAATTAGAGTATCTGAGAGGGCACCATCTGGGAGGGTTAGTGTACGGCAGACTAGAAGAATTAGGTCAGGGTTATCTAAGAGCAAGGCTTAAGTAATAGTTAAATAGTCCTCCTTTCTCTCCTTGGTCTGTGCACAGAGTTGCCTGGTTGCCACGTGCCTATTTTCCCTTTTCCTTTCTTGTTCTTGGTTCAGCAATGGCCATTAACTTGGTCCTAGGATCTTGAACAGTTAATGAGGTGGGATGCTGGCTGAGGATACATGGGAGCATTGAAATCAACAGGACACCTCTTCTTGTCCTTTGGTGGCAGTTGCCCCCCCCCCCCCCAGGAGGTTTGGATTCCGGATGATTCCCCATTTTGTTAACAACAAAAAAAGTCTTACGAAAAATCCACGAAGCCATTGTTTGAACCAGGAAGAAACTTCATTAATGACCTGCCCAGACCTGACCAGACCAGGTGTTCCATGTGTGGCTACATACCCGTAAGGCAGATACACAGCTTTTTATTCCTTATTCCCAATTCAGATTTCCCTCCCTTGTTTCCCCATTGGTTGGGTACTATAGAGGTTATGGCCTATCCAAAGCACCTAATTTCCCCACATGAGTCTCTGCCCCTAATTACATCTCCTACTCCCCACAATTTAGTGATCCCGGTCTGCATCCACTTTTGCTCTTATTTGGATGTGGAAACACCAACAACCCTCCCCCACCTTGGTATGTGGATATGTTAATCTGTACCTAACCTCTGAACCAGTTTTCTGCCCACCAAGAGTGTTTTCTTATTCTAATTTATGGCTTCCTTTGTTCAACTTCCACCTAACCCTTAGATTGCATTTCTCAGGTTTCAGGTGACTTTTGTGGAAATGAAAACTAGCTGTTTCTCACAATTTGAACTCAACTCTACCTGAACACCTTCAAAGTGGAAAATATTTCCATAAGTAAAATATAAGAGAAATAGGATTGATCATAGCTGAAACCATGAATTGTTATTACATTTATGTGACTTTTTAAAAATGTGCGATAGTTTGAACACATCCTTCACAAAGTCCTTCTGTTCCTTTCTGGACATTTAAACAAAATGTTCCTATGACATATTTATTTGTTTGTTTGTTTGTTTGTTTATATTTGGTGGTGGCAGATTATTCCTTCTTAAAGGAAGCAATTGATAAAGTGTCTAGAACCCTAAGCCTGGAGTCTGGAAGATCTGAGTTCAAATGTGCCCTCAGACACTTATTAGATGTGTGATTTGGGGCAAGTCATTTAGCCACTGTTTGCCTCAGTTTCCTCCATTGTGAAATAAACATAATAATAGCCTTTTTATCTCATAGGGTTCTTGTGAAAATTGTCAAAAGTGGATTTGGGGGTAAACTTAACTCACTCCACTTTGTCTGTTATAATTCTTTGTCTTTCAGCCTTTTTAACCAGTCTCTTTCTGTATCTCCCTTCCCCCTAAGACTAGAGAAAATTTGTAGGATTTTGAATAGTCCCAAGAAGGCCCTTCCTCCTCTTAATTCTATCAAATAATACTAGTCAGAGCTGGAGGAAGGCTCTTTAGCATTAGTCGGAGCTTAACAAATGCTAATTAAATAACTGTTTTCTTTGTTTTGGTGCAAATACTCTGCTAAAGGCCTGGGGAAGGAGGGTGCAGCTAGCTGTGTGAGCCTGGGCAGGTCACTTCACCCAGTTTGCCTCAGTTCTTCATTTGTAAAATGAGCTGGAGAAGGAAATAGCAAACCACTCCAGATCTTTGCCAAAAAAACCCCAAATGGGGATCACAAAGAGTCAGACTCAACTGAAAAGGCTTTAAGCCCCCACCTTTTTAAAATTCACCATTTCTATACCTTTTTCTGTATAAGGACCCTATGTGATCTTACCAAGACCCTCTGCATTTCCAGTAGCTAAGGAGGAGAGAATATATATGTCTATATGTATACACACACATATACACACATATGCATGTATGCATGTATATGTATGCATGTATATACACATACATATAGACATATATATCACATCTGTGTAACTGAAGGACCCCAGTGTCAACCTCCTACTGATGGTGTGGGTCACACTCTTGAGTGAATATAAAAAATGCAGTGTACCGGTCTGGCTGCATCCTTGTTGCCCAATTCAGGCTGCCATTAGCAATGACCCTGATAATTCTTGCAACAGGAACAAATGAGATCATCTTTATGAGGTGCCTGGCACATAGTAGGTGCATCTAACCAGCCCCACCCCCCCTTCCCAGTCTTCTTACATGGAACTCCCCTGCTCCTCTTCCACTCAGGCCTCCTGGCCCATCATTGACCAAGCCCCTCCATCTCCTGGCTCCTAACAGCTATCTCCTCTACTTGGAATGTTCTCCATCATCTTGTCTTCTTGAAGTCCTTCAAATCTCAGCTAATGTCTC